CTTAAAATCAATGGTAATTAAATCCCACGTACACAGACGCACACACACATCCATCTCTTGGCCAGGTTGACGTCGATGATGATAATAATGCATGCATAAACGGGCATATATGCGACATATTTTCCCCAGCTTCGTAATTCTCAACATCATCAACTTCGTCATAACGGTAACGTCAAACTCAATATCCATTCCAGCTACGACTACATTCAAGCAATAAGTCCAAGGACTTATTGGGCTATGAGGACGACGACGATGAGAACTCATTGCAATTCCCATCAATTACCATTAATTAGGCCTTTCTATTCGCTCAAGCCTCAATTAGTTTTTTTTCGCTCTCTTTCATATTGATGGCTGGCAGAGGATAAAATGCAGCAGCACTGAAAGGCCTGAAGAAAAATCAATTAATGCAGAAAAGAGAAATTATTTGCTGCACTTCGTATTGATTGACAATAATGTGAATATCAACGATATTGGTTTGACGAAGAAGAAGAAAATGGAAAACAACTAGCTACAGAGCTATATCTTCATTTTTTCCTCTTTCACAACTTATTCATAAATTTTGCACAGTGGAGAGCGTGAAGATAAATTGTTGAAAGTTAAATTGTAATGTTATTAACAGAGCTCTGTTAAGCCATTAACAGAGCTCTTTTAAAAGGTTAACAGAATTGAAAAATAATCAAATTTAATAGATTTTACGATTATTTTTATTTAAAATTAATAAAAATAAGTAGGATTAGGACAAAATTAACAAATGTGCTACCCCAATGCAATAAAACATAAAAATTACTGCACATGCAGCAACACTGTAGGTATTTGCAATTAGGCCCACTGTCCGAAAATTTCAAAACCTGGGACTAAGCGAATACCCACGATGGAAAGGTCAGTCCATGGGCTTTCAGAATATATATAGTTTATATCCGAAATCAATTTCGGATATAATAAATTTTTCGACTTTTTTTAAAATTGTACAATTTAACCGTAGGTCTGGTAATTGATATGGTCCAACTATTAGGCCCACTGTCCCGAAATTCCAAAACCTGGGACTAAGCGAATACCCGCGATTGAAAGATCACTCCTTGGGCTTTCAGAAAATATATAGTTTGTATCCGAAATCAATTTCGGATATAATAAATTGTTTGACTTTATTTAAATTGTAATTTTTTTGATATCTGATATGGTCCAACTGTTAGGCCCACTGTCCGAAAATTTCAAAACCTGGGACTAAGCGAATACCCACGATGGAAAGGTCAGTCCATGGGCTTTCAGAATATATATAGTTTATATCCGAAATCAATTTCGGATATAATAAATTTTTCGACTTTTTTTTAAAATTGTACAATTTAACCGTAGGTCTGGTAATTGATATGGTCCAACTATTAGGCCCACTGTCCCGAAATTCCAAAACCTGGGACTAAGCGAATACCCGCGATTGAAAGATCACTCCTTGGGCTTTCAGAAAATATATAGTTTGTATCCGAAATCAATTTCGGATATAATAAATTGTTTGACTTTATTTAAATTGTAATTTTTTTGATATCTGATATGGTCCAACTGTTAGGCCCACTGTCCGAAAATTTCAAAACCTGGGACTAAGCGAATACCCACGATGGAAAGGTCAGTCCATGGGCTTTCAGAATATATATAGTTTATATCCGAAATCAATTTCGGATATAATAAATTTTTCGACTTTTTTTAAAATTGTACAATTTAACCGTAGGTCTGGTAATTGATATGGTCCAACTATTAGGCCCACTGTCCCGAAATTCCAAAACCTGGGACTAAGCGAATACCCGCGATTGAAAGATCACTCTTTGGGCTTTCAGAAAATATATAGTTTGTATCCGAAATCAATTTCGGATATAATAAATTGTTTGACTTTATTTAAATTGTAATTTTTTTGATATCTGATATGGTCCAACTGTTAGGCCCACTGTCCGAAAATTTCAAAACCTGGGACTAAGCGAATACCCACGATGGAAAGGTCAGTCCATGGGCTTTCAGAATATATATAGTTTATATCCGAAATCAATTTCGGATATAATAAATTTTTCGACTTTTTTTAAAATTGTACAATTTAACCGTAGGTCTGGTAATTGATATGGTCCAACTATTAGGCCCACTGTCCCGAAATTCCAAAACCTGGGACTAAGCGAAAACCCGCGCACTCCTTGGGCTTTCAGAAAATATATAGTTTGTATCCGAAATCAATTTCGGATATAATAAATTGTTTGACTTTATTTAAATTGTAATTTTTTTGATATCTGATATGGTCCAACTGTTAGGCCCACTGTCCGAAAATTTCAAAACCTGGGACTAAGCGAATACCCACGATGGAAAGGTCAGTCCATGGGCTTTCAGAATATATATAGTTTATATCCGAAATCAATTTCGGATATAATAAATTTTTCGACTTTTTTTAAAATTGTACAATTTAACCGTAGGTCTGGTAATTGATATGGTCCAACTATTAGGCCCACTGTCCCGAAATTCCAAAACCTGGGACAGAAAATATATAGTTTGTATCCGAAATCACTTTCGGATATAATAAATTGTTTGACTTTATTTAAATTGTAATTTTTTTGATATCTGATATGGTCCAACTGTTAGGCCCACTGTCCGAAAATTTCAAAACCTGGGACTAAGCGAATACCCGCGATTGAAAGATCACTCCTTGGGCTTTCAGAAAATATATAGTTTGTATCCGAAATCAATTTCGGATATATTAAATTGTTTGACTTTATATAAATTGTAATTTTTTTGATATCTGATATGGTCCAACTGTTAGGCCCACTGTCCGAAAATTTCAAAACCTGGGACTAAGCGAATACCCACGATGGAAAGGTCAGTCCATGGGCTTTCAGAATATATATAGTTTATATCCGAAATCAATTTCGGATATAATAAATTTTTCGACTTTTTTTAAAATTGTACAATTTAACCGTAGGTCTGGTAATTGATATGGTCCAACTATTAGGCCCACTGTCCCGAAATTCCAAAACCTGGGACTAAGCGAATACCCGCGATTGAAAGATCACTCCTTGGGCTTTCAGAAAATATATAGTTTCGGATATAATAAATTTTTCGACTTTTTTTAAAATTGTACAATTTAACCGTAGGTCTGGTAATTGATATGGTCCAACTATTAGGCCCACTGTCCCGAAATTCCAAAACCTGGGACTAAGCGAATACCCGCGATTGAAAGATTACTCCTTGGGCTTTCAGAAAATATATAGTTTGTATCCGATATCAATTTCGGATATAATAAATTGTTTGACTTTATTTAAATTGTAATTTTTTTTGATATCTGATATGGTCCAACTGTTAGGCCCACTGTCCGAAAATTTCAAAACCTGGGACTAAGCGAATACCCACGATGGAAAGGTCAGTCCATGGGCTTTCAGAATATATATAGTTTGTATCCGAAATCAGTTTCGGATATAATAAATTGTTTGACTTTATTTAAATTGTAATTTTTTTGATATCTGATATGGTCCAACTGTTAGGCCCACTGTCCGAAAATTTCAAAACCTGGGACTAAGCGAATACCCGCGATTGAAAGATCACTCCTTGGGCTGATTTGGCGCAGAGTGAAAATGTGGTCAATGGTGGATTTGCCAGGTCTGAAGCCGCATTGGTATGGTCCAATAATGGCATTGACCATTGGCTTCAGTCGTTCACACAGTACGCTGGATAGCACTTTATATGCGATGGGAAGGAGACTGATTCCTCTATAGTTGGCACATATCGTCTTGTCTCCTTTTTTGTGCGCGGGACACAGAATGCTAAGGTTCCAATCATTGGGCATGCATTCTTCTAGCCATATTGTACTAATCAGCTGGTGCATGCTCCCCACCAGCATCTGACCACCAGTCTTGAATAGTTCAGCTTGTAACCCATTGGCACCTGCTGCTTTATTATTCTTCAGCCAATTGATTGCTATTCTGACTTCATCTTGGTTAGGGTATGGGATGAGGTATCCTCTTCACCGCTACTATATGATACCAGAAGTTTTTCGAAATGCTCCTTCCAGGGTTTCCTTCTTCATCTCTACAGGAGAATGTGCCTGCACCAAAGCCTTCGGTTTGGTGTTTCACCATTTGGTAGAGTTTTTGGGCTGCATTCTGACTCCTGTAGGTCTCGATTTGCTCCCGCTCACGTGTTTCTTGTTCTTTCTTCTTTTTTCTGAAAATACGATTCTCCTCTCTCCTTTTCCCCCAATAGTTCTCCATCGCATTACGTTTTGCTACTGTCCGCAGGGTTACCCTATACGCTGTGTTTTTCCTATCAGTAGCATTACAACACTCCTGATCGTACCACGGATTTCTTGATGGTGGTCTTTGGTACCCAAGTGTTGCTTCTGCTGCAGTTTGTAGGGAGTGGGCAATTCTCTACCATTGTGCTTCTATATTATTATCGGTACAAGGGCTGCTTTCGTCCAGCAGTTGGGTAAGTTGATCGGACTAGGCTTCTGTTTCTTATAGACCTTGAAAAAATATTCTTAAAAAATTTACGTTTGGTATAAACAGTCTTTTAAAAAATATTAATTAAAACTTCACCATTTGTGTGAGACCTTGAAAAGTTATTTTTTTAATGCCAAAATATTTTTAAATAAATCCACGCTCTGTTGATCCCTTGGAAAGTTATATCCGTGCCTATGATTGACCTTTGAGAAAAAAAGTCATTAAAAATTCATACTGTTGAAAAATATTCATTAAAATATCCTCGATCTGTTAGACCTTGTATAAACATTGTTTAAAGGAGTCAACCCTCTATAAATCTCCTGGTCCTTTATAGATTTTCTCTTACTATTTCTAACCACTGTCTGTTTTTTATTCCTTTGTTGTAAAAGCTTTTGAGTGACAACAACAACATCACCCTCAACATCGGTGACTGCAGCTGAAGTTGATGTTAATAATGTTAGGGCAAGGAAAGGAAAAAACAAATATTGCATAAATGCTTTTGCTTAACAAAATTTGCATTCACATTAGAATGAAAATCACATGCCAGATAGCAGCACAGTATGTAATACCTTTAGAATAAACTGATAACATAACAGAATGGCTGTGGCATGGTAGACGCTTAGGTAATACTTGTACCTGCTGGTGATCAAAGCCTAGACAAGCTCATAACACATACTCCCTTTTAATAACAACAAATATATAACCATAGTCTTATTTTAGCATAATGCAGTCTTACTACAATTTAGTTAAAATAACGGAAAATTTTATTGTAAATATACTTTTCCCAAGATATCTATTAAAGTATTTCTCTCTTTTTTTCAGATGGAAGCCCTAGTCCGAGAAATGCAAGATCCCGAACATGGAGTACCAGTAAGGCAACAAAAGATGTTTCTCACTTCCATTCCTTATGCCTTTATGGGTAAGTTAGAGAAATGAATGTCCGTCCGTCATGTCGAATTTATGATCTGAATATTATGAAATCTATATTTTCGTCCGATTTTGCTTTTTGTTTGTGATCAATTGCTCAATTTCTTATAACTTCTGAAAATTTATCGACCTATTTTCTGGTCAATTTTCAATTTTTATTTCCCAACATTGTGCAGGAAATTCCTTTTAAAATTTCCCTTTTTCACACGAGGAGCCCGTTGGTAGAATTTTCGGACTGCATTATGACTCCTGCACATCTCGATTTGCTCACGCTCACGTTTTTCTTCTTCTTTCTTCTTTTCCTGAAACACGTTTCTCCTCACTCCTTTTCTCCCGATAGTTCTCTATCGCATTACCTGTTGCTACTATCCGCAGGGTTGCCGTATACGCTGCGTTTTTCACATCAGTAGCATTACGACACTCCTGGTCGTGTAGGGAGTGGGCAATTCTCTGCCATTGTGCTTCTATGTTATTATCGGGACAAGGGGTGCTTTCGTCAAGTAGTCGGGTAAGTTAAGCAGAGTAGGCTTCTTTAGATATCAAAATCTATAATAAACCAGTAAGGAAAGTAGTAAAGTCGGACGGGGACGACTATATGATACCCTTCACCACTTTGGGTATATTCGACAGCTGAATCCTAACAGACGTTGAAGGACCATAAACACGAAAATGGTTCCATAACCATGTCATTCTGCAACCTATACAAAATTTTTCGTTTGGCCAGATATAGAGTTGCTATAGACATAGTATATATATATATATATAATGTGAACCGATTTAAAGGAGACTTGCCATGGATTAGCTTATATTAGCTACAGTTCGTTGTACAAAATCGTGTGACAATCGGACAAACTTTGGGTCTTTAATGCACAATTTAAACAAAATCGGAAGAAAGCATATATAGGAGCTATATCTAAATCTGAACCGATTTTCACGACACTTAACACACATCTAGACCTAATTCATTACGCTATGCCGTGCAAACCGAAAGATATATATTGGCTTTGGTACACCATTTACATTAAATCGGAGGAAAATATATATGGGAGATATATCTAAATCATTACGCTATGCCAAATTTCGTGCATATCGAAGCATATATAGGGACTTTGGTGCACCATTTATATAAAATCGGACGTAACTATATATGGGAGCTATATCTAAAGCTGAACCAATTTTTACGAAATTGAACACATATCTTTCTAGACTTATTTCAGTACGATGTGCCAAATTTCGTGCAAATCGAAGGCTATATAGGGACTTTGGTGCACCATTTTCCTAAAATCGGGCGAAACTATATATGGGAGCTATATCTAAATCTGAACCGATTTTCACGAAACTCACCACTCATCATTTTAGACTCAATTCAGTACGCTGTGTTAAATTTCGTGCAAATCGAAAGATATACAGCAACTTTGGTGCACCATTTACCTTAAATCGGACGAAAATATATATGGGGGTTATATCTAAATCTGAGCCGATTTTTCACAACTTCAATAGTGTTCGTCCTTGAGTCAAATAAATGAGCTGTGCCATATTTCATCCAATAAAAATGATAAATGCGACCTGTACTTTGTTTGCAATTTAACATGGACGGACGGGCGGACAGACGGACATGCATAAATCGACTCAGAAAGTGATTCTATGGTTATTCCTACAAGGAACCATTTGTCTATCTCGATTATTTTTGCCTGTTACCAACATATGCACAAAGACATAATACCCTGTACAGCTTCGAGCTTGACTTGAGTAAACTTATCGACGTAATTCTAAAATATTTAATCATTTATTTTCACCTTTCCACAGGTTACGATCTTATCGAATGGCTTATGGATCGCCTACAAATCGAAGAATCCGAAGCGCTGAACATTGCCAATCAATTGTGTTTGCATGGTTACTTTTTCCCCGTGAACGATTCCAAAACGTTGTCCGTCAAAGACGACTCTTCTCTGTATCGCTTTCAGACACCCTACTATTGGCCGTGGCAACATAAGGCACCCGATAATGTTGAATATGCCATCTATTTGGTTAAACGTACGCTGCGTAATAAACAACGCCACGCCTTGGAAGATTACGAAGTGGAGGCATTATCCTCATTACATAAAAATCTCAAAGGAAAATGGGAAATTATCTCGATGCAAGCTGAGGAACAAGTACGTTTGGCCAAAGAACGCAAGAAGGGTGAAAAAATTGTAGGTGACTCACAGGAGCGTGCCTATTGGCGTGTGCATCGTCCACCACCGGGACAATTTACACCATTGGAACCGTGTCCGGTGCCATCAAGAGATCGCCAAGGGACGAAGCAGAATAAAAAGAAAACCCTCGAGGATATGCAACGTGATGTAGATTATTTGAAAAAGTCCCTCAATCGTACACGAATGAAAATGTCACAGGCCTGTGAATCGTTGGTAACCTATTCGGAGACATTTTCCGATTATGACTTTTTCCTACAACCTGTCTTGCCCTCAAATCCATGGGTCACCGAAGATACCACCTTCTGGCAGCTGAATAATACTTTTGTTGATATTCCAACGGAAAAACGGGTAAAACGTTGGGCCATTTCCATTGAGGAGTTGGTGTCAGATCCCACGGGTCTGCAGGAGTTCACCACCTTTTTGGAAAAAGAATACTCTCATGAAAATATACGTTTTTGGATAGCGGTAAATCGTTTGCGTAGGTCTGCTCACTCTCAGGTGCCACGTAAAGTCCAGGAGATATATGAGTAAGTAAGGGAAGGATTGGAGGTAAGAACAAATCGGTAATTTATTTGTGTTTTTTTGCAGGGAATTCCTCAAACCTGGCGCTCCCTGTGAAATCAACATCGACGGCAAGACCATGGAAAGTGTTCTAAAGGGCCTCAAGAACCCCTCACGTTTCACCTTCGATGCCGCCTCCGATCACATCTACATGCTGTTGCTAAAGAAGGACTGCTATCCTCGTTTCATACGTTCCGATCACTATAAGCGTCTGGTAGAGACGGGCATCCAGCCCTCGCACAAGAAACGTTTCTTCAACTTTGGCGGTGTCAGTGGTGCCAAAAAGAAAATGACTGCCGCCTTGTCCAGCCAACCGAATCTGGGTGGCAACACAGAGTCCAGTAGCAAGAGTACAATGGCTGCCAGTGGTAATTCGTTTATAATGTCCACGGCCCCGCCACCGGGAAGCTTGACTAGGCGACGCGGCAGTGATCGTAGTCTAAGCGGTTCCGCTCATGAGCTGGCGGTAATGGGTGTGAACAAGGATAGCAGCTCCAAGGTGCCACATTCTCATTCGCAGAGTAATCTAAGTGAGATACCGTTCAGGTAAGTGAGCCCACACCCCCAAAAAAAGCCACTAATACACAAAAATAATTAACAATAAATAAAAAATAAATCATAATGCGCTTTTTTCTCAATGGATTGACATAATGAGATTGGTTGTTAATTTGGTTTTTTTCTTTTCTCTTTTTTTTAATTTTCACAATTGGTTGGTATCAATTTTAATTTTCCATTTTAATTTTAATTAATAAAAAAATAATTATTGTTGTTTTTGGTTTTTCCACTCATGTTGCATTTTGTCATGATAAAAAAAATATTTTTTTTAAATAAAAAAAAAATCAAACAAATCATCATTTACACAAAACACCAATACCACTACAAACAATAAATAAATCCTGGTACCAACAACAAATAGTGACAGTGTTTATCGCGGTGATATGCCACCACCGCCGCCTACCTCTCAAGAAACCCTGTATTGCGAACAAAAATTAAAACGTCTAGTCCAGGAATATGGAAATCTCGAAACAAATTTAGCGGCATACCACCACGACTATCATCATCAGTAAGAGTTCCCTGCAACAAAAAAAAAATTCTAACCATTTTTTCTCTCTCTACTAAGCCTTGCTTTGGCAAAATGTTTTTTTCTTTTACTCTACTTCTTCTAATTTTGTAAAATTCACTTTTTTTGTAAAATCCATTTTTTTCTACTTGTTGTTGTTGCTGTTTGTTGTGTGCTCCAAAAACAAATGTGCTCTTCTAAATGTTTTGTAAAATAAATAAAAAAAGAAAAAAAATGCCTCTGTCCTATACCGCCACAAAATGTTCGTCAAAATACTCTCTGAAAATATTAACACTACCTCCTTGCTATCACTTTTCTCCATTTCAATCTACCATTTTATTTTTTTATTCCAACAAAAAATTTATATATAAAAATATAAGTGTTGTTTATTTTCTTTTGTTTACAAAAATTTCTCATATTTTGCTAAAAAAAAAATTAATTGTAAAAAAATTCAGAAAATTCAATGCTGTCCTTTATTATTATGATGATTCTTAAGTAAATATGATTTGTAATATTCTAATATACATACGAAGGCTGCTACATATTTTCGAATAATGAAACAAACACAAAAAAATAATTGATTTACCTGACTCCTGAGAAATAACAGATACAGAGATTAGAAAATGAGACAAGGTTCATCAAAATATATAAGTAGGTTCAACCAAATACATAATAGAGCGGTACAGTTATATAAGACTTTTCTATGGTAAAATTTTAGGAACAGCCGGTATTATAAGTATGTGCGACCACATACTTATAATATTAGGAAATCCATTGTTTTTATAGGAATCCATTTACAATGCTTCGGAATGTCCGATTTGGGCCAAATATGCACCATTTTCCTTGCCCCCTATATTAGTAGTCGATTTTCACAATCCTCCCTATATATCAATTTTGTATCATTAAAGAAATCTTGCAATGCAAAAAAAGGGTATAATCACTTGGGACCAAGTCCGGACTGTATGGCGGATGAATTAAAACTTTCCAACCAAGCTCCCGAAGTTTCTGGCGAGTCACTGTAGATGTGTGTGGCCTAGCGTGTCCTGATGGAACACTACACTTCTCCTATTGGATAATTCTGGCCATTTATGGTCAATTGCTATCTTCAAACGGTGCAGTTCTTGACAGTAGAGATCAGAATTTAGCGTTTGGCCATATGGAAGCAACTTATAATAAATAATCCCCTTCCAGTCCCACCAAATGCATAGCAGAACCTTCCTGGCCGTTAGTCCTGGTTTGGCCACCGTTTGAGGTGCATCACCACGTCGTTTTCGCACAGGGTTATCGCATGTGATCCTTTTTTCATCTCCAGTCACCATCCGTTAATTGGTGTGGCATCCAAACATCGAGCTTCTTTTTGAATCCAGCTGAGTGTAAACGGTTTAAAACAGTTTTATGGTCGATTCTCAGCTCCTGAGCGATGTTAAGACTGCTAACGTGACGGTCAACTTCGATCATTTCTCCTATTTTATCGACATCTTCGACGAAAAATCATGGATATATTTTTCCCCAGCCTAACATATTTTTGTCAGACTTTATGAAATTGTTACCCAACTTTTGATCTGTTTAGACAAAATTTTACACATCGTACCGAAATAAGACTAGAATGGGAGTGCGAAATTTGTGTAAATCGGTTTGATGTACCCATACATGTATACCGTCCACCACAAAGTGAAGTGTATATTAAATCATTCCGTTTGCAACACCTCGAAATTTTCATCGAAGACCCCACAAAGTATATATCGCTCATTTGCTGCAAGACAGGCATAACTCAAACCAGTATGGAAAGTATTAAAGTCGGACGGGGCCGACTACATGATACCCTTCACCACTGTGGGTATATTAAACGAATCCTTACATCCTAACAGAAGGGTCATTAACATGAAATTCGATGAACTAAAATATGTGACCTTTATCTAAATGTGAACCAACTTAGATCAATCTATAAACATGTCATTTGTTTGTTACAATGGGAAAAAATTATATAAATCGATTTAGGTTATACTAATTTCAGCAGGTTTTGTTCCTAATGGCCATATTTTGCTTCCTACTTAAAATCGGTCGAACATATATATGGGAGCTATATCTAAATCTGAATCCCTTTTCAAGAAATTTTACACACATCATTCTAGACTCAATTCAGTACACTATGCCAAATTTCATGGAAATCGAAGGGACATTGGTGAACAATTTACCGTAAATCGGACGAAAATATATATGGGAGCTATATCTAAATTTGAATCGAATTTCACGAAACTTAACACACATCATTCTATACCTAATTCCTTATGCAGTGTCAAATTTCGTGTAAATCGAAAGATATATAGGGACATTGGTGCACCATTTGCATAAAATCGGACGATAATATATATGGGAGCTATATCTAAAACTGGACCAATTTTCTTTAAACTTAGCACACATCGTTCTAGACTTAATTGAGTACGCTGCGTCATATTTCGTGCAAATCGAATGATATATAGGGACATTCGTGCACCATTTACTGAAAATCGGACGAAACTATGTATGGGTGCTATATCTATATCTGAACCGATTTTCACGAAACCAAAATATGTACCGATTTTTCCCAATTTCAATAGGGTTCGTCCTTGGGCCAAATAGATGAGCTGTGCCAAATTTCATCCAAATCTGATTATAAATGCAACCTGTACTTTGTTTAAAATTTAACACCAACAGACGGACGGTCATATTCTCAAAAGGAACCATGTGTCTATCACGTTTCCTTTTGCATGTTACAAACATATGCACGAAGACATAATACCCTGTTCCACAGTGTGGAGAAGGGTATAAAAGGGGGGTTATATGGGGACTACCCCTAAAAGGGGGCGAATATTAATAAACTTTGGTAGGGAGATTTGTTACCATATACGGCTACAAAATACCAAATTACAGTGAATTAGGTTGAAAACCGCGCTCAAAAACACCAAAATACCGAAAATTGGAATTTTTTGTCGAAAGATTTGGTACCTATAAATAACTCAAAATACAAAATAACAACCAATTCGGTGAAAAAGTCCGGTCAAAATCCTACAAAACCTGAAAATTAGGTGGTACACCTATAATTTTTAGTGGGGAAATTCGGTACCCAACGAGAACCCCATGTGCCAAATTTCATCGAATTCGGTTGAAAAACGCGCTCAAGAACCCCAAAATACAAAAAAAAATTAAAGATATGCCTAAAAGTGGACCGATATAGCCCATCGTCGAACTTGACCTGCCTGCAGACAAAAGACGACTCTATGCAAAATGTTGGCTATCACCTCAATTGGCTCAGAGGCTAGAGAGATTACAACAGACAGACGGATAGACAGACATGGCAAAATCGTCATAGAATTTTATGAGTTTGTAACGCCGCGAAATATTGGTCCTAGAATTAACTTTTAGTATGCTGATCGTCATGCATCGACTAATCCAGAAAAATGTGTTAATTAGCCTGTCCATTATAGTATAAAAGTGAAAATATTGGTCACAGTTATGAACCAATAGTCACGAAATTTTGCATGTGGGTGCTTCTGGCCTCTAAAATTCCGTTTATGATTATGTGGAAATTAAATGGTTCTTATTATAAAATATGAACCGATATAGCCGAGCAGCATACAACGTTGTATGCCAAATAAGACCCATCCTATAGCACAGTGTCATATCTATTTAATGAACTCAATCGTGACCGAAATCACTCAAAACGGCGCACAGTGGTTGAAATCACTGATTTAGTGGCGCTAAATTAATAATTTTTAAACCAATTGATATGGTATGTTGCTGAAGTTTTGCACAAATTCAGCCTATACCTATAAGAATAATTGAGATGAATATGGAATTGATCTGATAGTGTTTTGCTAATTGGCTATAGTTTAATATTAGGTTGGGGGAAAATAAATCCATTAAGCCGGTCGTTGAAAACGTCGATAAAATCGGAGAAATGTTCGAAGTTGACCGGCATGTTAGCAGACGTAACATCGCCCAGGAGCTAAAAATCGACCATAAAAATGTTTTAAAACATTCACACAAAACTGGAGTAAAAAAAGCTCGATGTTTGGGTTCCACACCAATTAACAGGAAAAAATAGGATGGATCGAATTTCCATCCGCGAAGCCTTGGCCAAACGGAATGGGGTAGACCAATTTTTTAAACTGACAGTGAGTGGAGATGAGAAATGGATCACATACGATAACCCTGTGCTAAAACGATCATGATCAAAGAGTGGTGAAGCACCTCAAACAGTGGCCACACCAGCACTAACGGCCAGGAATGTTTGGTGGGAATGGAAGGGGATTATTCATTACGAATTGTTTTCAAATGGCCAAACACTAAATTGTCATTTTCTGTCAACAATTGGACCCTTTGCAGAAGCAATTGACAGGAAACGACCACAATTGGGCAACAGGAGAGGTGTCGGGTTCCACCAGGACAACGCAAGGCCACACACATCTACATTGACATGCCAGAAAACTTCGGGAGCTTGGTTGGGAAGTTTTATGGCGTCTGCCATATAGTCCGGACTTGGCACCTAGCGATTATCAACTTTTTCTTGCATTGCAAAATTTCTTTAATGATAAAAAAATGTGCATATAGGGAGGATTGTGAAATCGACTACTAGAAGAGAGGTATTATGAAGTTACCTTTAAAATGGCATCAAATCATACAACAAAACGGTGCATATCAGAAAATAATGGATTTCTTTTTCCCCAACCTAATATTTGAGGGTAGCCCCTATAATATGACACCTCCAAATGGAGATTTTTAACACGTTTTCAATTAAATTGGCTGTAATTTCTTATTCTTGGGTTCTCATTACGGTATCATCGCATCTCCACACACAAATTATTAATATTGACCCAAGCCGTTATTTTGAGAATTTAAGACACGTTTTTCAATCCAATCTCACTAGCCCTACAATTAGATATTTCAAAAAAAAAAAAAAAAATAATAATAATATTATTGTTCTCTCATATTTTTCGGCAAATGGGACGATAACGAATTTTCCTTTATGATATCGAAGAAAATAGTAAAATCGAGTAGATTCTTGCAGTACGGGAACAGACCAAAAATGAATTTTTACTGGGAGCCCTCATTATTTTTAAATATTTTTATTGTCATGGTGGTCATGGTGGCGGGGGCCGAACTTAACATCGTTTTTACTTGTTTACTCGTATTCTGATTTGATCCGATTGGCTTTTATTTTAAATCAATCCATATTTACATATAGCTCTCATATATACATATATATTTGTAAAGTTATTTCTTGTAGCTACAGTCGACAAATGTCCTATTTACAAAATTGAATATATGCGAAAAAAATGCATAATTTTTGGCCTTCGGCTTCGGTAATCATAAAGTCCAAAAACATGTACTAGTCGTAGTCCAATTTTAAGTCATAACCTTTCCAGCCGATTTTTTTGCTTTTATGGGTGGTATAAGCTCCATAAATAATTTCGAAATTATGAAAATAAAATTCTCTACAGCATTGAATTTTCTCCACCATCTAAATGTTGTAATCTATGTTCAGACACCAACTAAATGTTCTCTTCAAACCTACAGCTTACTGATGTATTAACATTTTATTTGTATAAACTATTTAGAGATACACCCAAAGGGAAAACTGGACGCTTGGAGACCACCGTTGAGGTTGGTGGTGGTAGTAGTGCGGTATGTCCATGGGATGAACCGGATGAGCCACCGACAACACAAGCGCCCAAACCAATGCCAGCTGCTGCTGCTGTTGTACCAGCAGCCTCCACAACTCCAGTTCAATTGTCCGTATGCCCATGGGAGCAGGAGGAAGATGCGACAGTCCCACCCACAACAACAACAGCAGCTGTAGCACAACTACCAGCCATCAAAACAAGCGCACAAAGATTAACAAGGTAGGCAAAGGGTTTCAAAAAAACCTTTTTTTTTGGATGACAATTCAAATTATTTTATTTATTTCATATTTTTCCCTTTTTTATAAAAACATAGCACCTCTTCGGATAATTCCGAAGTTGCTGATAGATTACAACGCAATCTGGGCATACGCCATCAAAATACTGTCGATAGCGGTGAGACATCGGGCATGAAACGTTTACTACCAAATTTCACCGAACAACGAAGAGCATCAGTGTCCTTTACACCGAGGTAAGGTCATTCGATAGAAATTTAAAGTTCCCCAAATTTAATATTTTCCTCTTAATATCCCTTTCCCCACAGCCGCATTTCAGAATTTCCTACAGGACGACCGTCCACGGGTGCCAAAATTTCAACCACACCATCGCCCACGGTGACACTACAACAGGGTAATATTTCTGCTCTCTTTGCACCCATACAGGGTCCCAACTTTGCCGCCACCGCCGTAGTAACCAAAGATCCACCTTCATCCTCGGATGCTGAAGTGGAAGAGGAATTGAATAAGTTAGCGATATCGGAACGTAATAGTGAGTCATCGGGGTCAGCAGTACTGCCGACACCAAATCCTACACCCACACCACCACCGCTGACCAAGGTAACACCCCCACCCGTTACTCCGGTCGATGAACAACCGGCAGCATTGGTTAGTGCCGAAACCCAGACATGTCATGCCGACGACAGTCCTCGAGAAAGTTCTCCCAGTGATTCGTTGCATGGCAACGAGCCAGAAGAACGTTCGGGCGGCAATGAGGCGGAATTTGAGGCCGAGGTGGATTCTGAAATACAAGAGGTACAAATTGAATTGATCGAATCGTCGGAGGGTTATGAGAAATTATGTGAAAGCCAGGAATGTTTGGAAATGTCTCCACCCACAATACAGGTCGATGAGGATGATGGTGATGCTGATGGGGGAGGTGATGGTGAAAATATATGTCCTCCACATGGAAGTGGGGAATGTTTGGCTGGAGATATGGAGGTGGTAGAAGATAACCCCATTAAACAAAAAACTCCCTCCGGCTCGGCAAAACAAAGTCCTGAAAAAGAAATTGCCCCTGAAACACAGGAAACTGGCGAGGAAAAACAATCACCATTACAAGAACAGGATTTGCCACAACAACCACCACCACCAACAACAACAACACAAGAAGAGCTTCCACCAACATCACCAACCGAAGAACTTTCCCCTACCACCGATGAATATCAAGAAGGTCTCGAATTCGGTGATGATGGTAAAAACGATTTTGATATTGCCGATTCGGAATCCACCGTGGGTTATATACCACCAGCACCCACCCCAGCTCCCTCAATGGCACCTCTGGCGGAAATGGACACCGATACCGTTGACGAGGAATTTAGCGAAGAATTGAAACCCAAAGAGACAGCCACCGCAACCACCACCCCCGTGGCAGAGAAACCACCCAAACTTCCACATACCAATGTTGTGAAAACTACAGCCGAAGAGGCTCGGAAGAAGCGCAAGAAACGTCATCTGGATGCTAAGAAATCCATTTCGGGTGAAGA